CACATGAAGGATGGGCATGGAAGCCTCGCCAGTCTTCTCAGCAGAGGGCCTCCCAGCAGACTAGATTTATTGGATTTTTCATTTTCCTGCACCATTTGGATTTTCAAAGACTTTTTATTAGTTCAGGCTTTAAAGCAGAAACATGCAGCCAATTTGTTACAAACCACTGCAGCCTCAGTCCCCCGAAGCCAAGAACAACCGCTCAACTCTTCCAACTTGGCTGCAAAGCAACATCTGTTACGTCTCTTGTGCTCACCTCCCGAGCCAAAGAGACATCACACCTGCAGTGCAGGAATTTTGTGAAAAAAATGGAAATAGCATATCGTATACATCTTTTTTTCCAATATCTTTTGCTTTATGTTAATGCTTCTAGTTCAGGAGTGTCTGAAGTATTTCACAATGCTTAACAGAGCAAGGTTTGTCTCTTAGTTTTGGGTCATTTGTTAATTCAGTAAGTATTTGCTGAGCATATGTGTAAGATACGTGGCTCTAATCCCCACCAGGTAGTTGTTAGGTTGGCCTCTTCCTTTTGTGATGAGATCTTGTGTTTGTATTTTTTTTTTTTTTGGACTGCTCTGATCATGGTTCCATCAGATAAACAAATGCTGGAAATTAAGTTGCCAGTCTGGTCAATTTGTTACCTGCCTTTTCAAATTGTTACATAGGGAGTTGATGATCTTGGAAACAGAAGGAAGAACTATGGGTGCCTTATGAACGATTAGGTTTCAGTAAATATCACCTGCTTTTCACAAGGTGCTGGGGTGAGGCATAGAATGAGGCATAGCATAAGCATAGATATGCTATGGTGTAGCATACCTGGAGGTGCAGATCATCCAGCAGTCATGTGCAGGAGGGTTTTGAGTGGAGATGATCCTCACACTGAAAACATAGGAAGAAAACATAGGAAAAAATAGGAAGACCACATATGTGTCTCTGGGTAGTAATATACTATAGTGTAGTGGGCGGATCTTAGATTCACCTGAAATCTTAAGCATCAACTGCATTTTCTAGCCTTGGGATCATGGGTGTCTTAAATTTCTGAGCTTGAGTTTACTGAAAGTAATAGGAATGTTTGTGCTTGGGGTTGCTGAAAAATAATTAAGTGAGCTACCATAGGCGCTCATTAAATGTTGGCCTTTGCTTATGGCCACCACCTAAGAGGAAAATAAAAGAAGCAGAAAGCTCAGTTCTAGTTCTCAGAAGCTGGCAGTTCAGTCAGGGAGATGAGACACAGACTCTACATAAAACCACCAGAGTAAATGCCTCTGAGACAAAACTGAAATAGCGTGAGTTAACGTATTCTGTTCCCTCATCACTGCCAATTTTGGAAATGAAAGACTGACTTTTCTTTAAAAAATGTGTTTATGGGCCAGGCGCAGTGGCTTGTGCCTGTAATCCCAGCACTTTGGGAGGCCGAGGTGGGCGGATCACGAGGTCAGGAGTTCGAGACCAGCCTGGCCGATATGTTGAAACCCTGTCTCTACTAAAAATACAAAAATTAGCCAGGCATGGTGGCGTGTGCCTGTAGTCCCAGCTACTTGGGAGGCTGAGGCCAAGAACCGCTTGAACCCAGGAGGTGGAGGTTTCAGTGAGCCTAGATCGTGCCATTGCACTCCAACCTGGGCGACAGAGCAAGACTCCATCTCAAAAAAAAAAAAAAATGTGTTTATGCTTTTTGTTTTGCTTTGCTTTTTTGAGACAGGGTCTCGCTCTCTCACCCAGACTGGAGTGCTGTGGCATGATCATGGCTCACTGCAGCTCAAACTTGGGGGCTGGAGCAATTCTCCCACCTCAGCCTCTGGAGTAGCTGGGACCACAGGTGCACGCCACCATGCCTGGCTAATTTTTAAAACTGTTTTGTAGAGATGGGATCTCCCTATGTTTCCCAGGCTGATCTTGAACTCCTGGGCTCAACTGATCCTCCCGCCTCGGCCTCCCAAAGAGCTGGGATTACAGGCATGAGCCACTGCACCCAGCTGTGTGTTTACACTTGATGTCCAGAAAGCTTTTTATGAAGCAACGACCCTTCTCTTTAGAGGAAATAAAATGCGTGGGTTTAAAATTAGGCTCAAACACACATCCTCACAAATATGCACACAAATATCATAGTGACTTTAAGGCTCCATTAGGATGTTCAGCTGAGAGTTGTGCAAATGTTTGATCCATCTGCTGACAGCTCATAGAATGTGTTATTTCCAATGTTTGCAAATAACAATCTAAATAGAAATATGCTTAAGAGATTCTATTAATGTGTATGCACTGAAAAGCAATTTCCTTTCCATATTATACATTAAAAGAATTGAAAGCCTCCTTTGTATTTGCAATTGTATAAATGTCTTTATGCTATTTGAGGTGCAGGTCATAGCAGGAGAGCTTGAATGTGCCATTTGATAGTTCTTGGTCAATGCGGGTATAGTCTCTAGCAGGGGCCTCTTTTTGAAGTATTTCAAAGTTTCATTGGTTTTATGCCAGCAAGTGGAAAAAGTAAGGGCTTTGCAGCTAGCGAGACTGAGGTTCTAATACATATCCTTTGGAACAAGGTGTTCAAAATTTGCTGGGATAGTGATGGTGACATTTGCATAGGAGACATGGAATCTTCTGCTATCAAGGATTGAGACGTTTTCCTTCTCATGTCAACTGCTATTAAAACGTTTCTGGGGGGCCGGGCGCGGTGGCTGACGCCTGTAATCCCAGCACTTTGGGAGGCCAAGGCGGGCGGATCACGAGTTCAGGAGATCGAGACCATCCTGGCTAACATGGTGAAACCCCGTCTCTACTAAAAATACAAAAAATTAGCCAGGCGTGGTGGCGGGCGCCTGTAGTCCCAGCTACTCGGGAGAATGGCGTGAACCCGGGAGGTGGAGCTTGCAGTGAGCCGAGATGGCGCCACTGCACTCCAGCCTGGGTGACAGAGCCAGACTCCGTCTCAAAAACAAAACAGAACAAAACAAATCTCTGATGATTTAAATTGTTGTTAAATGAAAAGCAGTGTAATAAAGGCCACTTGAGACCTCCCTGGAGGGGGGGATTTACTGGAAAGACGAACCCCAGTGCCATTACAGTGCCTCGGATTTCTTGGGAGAAGACAGCTCTGGATGCAGCTTGTGTCTGAAGCTGGAATCTCAAAGCTTAGTCTTAGGTAGTGAGCTTAGCAATGTTTTGGAGGAAGTCTTAATGACTAACTGGGGTGTCTGTTGACTTTACATCTCACAAAGTTTCTGGTCTTATACATGGGGTAGTGTAGCTGCAGGTTGTTAGGTTAACTAGTTTCTGGGGGCAGTTGTGCTATTCTGAAACCTCGAGGTGGTGCTCGTGAGCTTTACTCCATTTGTGAAATTGCGGGAGGGAAGTGGAGGTCGGAGGGTGAAGGGCTAGGAAAAAGGTGAATCCTCCTGTGGTGGGGACTGATGGAGTGTTAAAGGAGTCAGTCCCCTTGGAGTGTTAAAGGAGTCAGTCATTGGAGATGTCTGATCACTCCTCTTCTTGCAGAAGCAATTAAATTAATTAATAGCATTGTTGGAACTTGTTCTGCCCTGGGTTCTGGTTTTCTCTATAGTCTCGAACTCCTGGGCTTAACTGATCCTCCCGCCTCAGCCTCCCAAAGAGCTGGGATTACAGGCATGAGCCACTTTCTCCTAGGTTCATACATACATCATCTCATTAAAACCACACAGATACATTAAAAATGAGATGATGTATGTATGAACCTAGGAGAAAGAAAAAGGAGTAAGTTATTTGACTAGCCTTCCACTTAAAGTGGGACTGCCCGTTGCTCAGGTGTCAGTGGCCACTATTCCTGAATCCATGTACATTCCAATCCAGCTGCCCCTCTGGGAGCTCCTGCATCACTCAGTGTGTTTTTTGAGGAGACAGATGTAAACTTTTGGCCTTTTCATTGATCACTTTCCCTGTGCTAGGTTGTCCTCAGGTGTAGAGAATTCAGAACTCTGCATGGCATTGCTCACAACTTTCTGAATGAACTCAGACCTAAATCTCAACCTTAGAGAGTGTTGATGACAAAAACTTTACTTTTACCTGCTTTAGATGTTTGATGCTAAATTAAAGTGAGAAAATGCATATGGAAGTGCATTGCAATATGACTGTTTATTAGAAATGAAAGGACACAGAGCATGCAGAGGGAAGCATTCTTAAGAGTTACTAGAAGACCAGAATCAAATTTAATATTCCCTTAAAGTAAATAAGTATTTCTGCATCAAAGCCCACCAATGAAGGACCATCAGGAACACATTTATTGCAGTACAAAGAAATTACATGTATTTTTCTTGCTGTTGTAAGACTGAAAGCACCTTAAAGAAATGATGAGGAGTTGGAAGAAGCTTGTCATAGTATGTGAGTGTGTGCTGGATGATTCAAGGGAGGATTGAGGAGGTGGGGAGCAATTCTGAATTGGATGTTTCAGGAAGCAGGAGCAATTCCGTGATTGAATATCGTAATCATTTTTATCTACAAGATAGAAGGACCACAGTGATTTTCCTTGGTGAGGTAAATGAGAAGCAGTCACTCATGTTAGACAGAAGAGGGGGCTGTTTTACTATTTTTGTGATTTCAGAGTGTACTTATCTGTGTCTCCTTCCAAATATGGGATTGAAATGGATTTGTTTAGACCTTGTTTCTATTCTGTGATTGTGGTTTATATTCAATTGGAAATATCATGGCCTAGTTGCCAGCAGGTCTGCTTTTCATTTTCTTACCTGGTTTCAGGTATGAATATTTACTTTATTCCCTTTTCTGAAAGGCAAAGAAAGAAGTCATATTCTAGAAGGGGGCCAAGGCTGAACACTAAGATAGAGGGCCTCCACCTGGGCGTTGGAGATGGCTAAAGGACAAGAATTAAGTTACAAGAGCAAAATGGTAAACGAGGAATGGTAAATGCTCAAGGAGTGAACATACCAGAGAAGGTGCATGGGAGATGGCCTTGAAGAGGCTGAGTGTAACTCCTCCTGCAGGTGTGTTTTTACACAGGTATGCATAAGGAGCACATGGGTTCTTATGAGAACCACACAGATACATATAAGGAGCCCATGAGTACATACAGGGAGCACACAGGTATGAATAAGGAGGCCACAAGCACTTCTAAGAAGCACATGGGTACGTGTAAGGGGCCTACAAAGGGTGAACAGACTTTTTGTTTTCTGACTTCAAATGTAACAATTAGACTCCCACCCCAATGCCAAGGCAAAGTTTTTAACTTTACCTCCATATTACCTTCCTGTGATTCCTTACTTATAGTTTATGCCTATACACGTAATGTTCATTTTAATTTTTAACACTGGTTACTTTTGGGAAGTGATACCAAAGTGTTTAGGGAGGTGTCATCACTCTTTGCTTTATATACTTATATATTGTTTAAATTTTATGGGCTAATTTATTTTTAATTCAATTAGTACATTAAAAACAAAAAAAGAAACCATTTAATAGTGGTGGTGGTGGAGGATCATGTGATTTTTTTTGGTGATGTTCTCTGAAGGATGATTTTTGAATTAATCTGTTTTTTTTTTGAAGGGGAATTCAAAATTCCCTCTTATGAAGGGGATGGTGTAGGTGTCTTGGATCTGTTGAAAAGACAGTTTTGATGAGAAGCTAAAATTATGATTCTAATACAAATGTAAAATGAAAAATATAAATGATTTTTATTTAATTCATTAACTAATGGGAACCAGTAAGATATACAGCCAATTCAGGAGAATTCAAAGAGCAGACACATATATTGGCAATGAGGAATGCTGAAATGAATTTGCTTAATAAATGCACAACTGGATTCTTGGAAGAAATGGATGTCATTTTGCACTTCTCCCTGGCAAAATTCATTTGCAGTCTGTGAACAGGAGTCATTTGCATTGCTTGCAGTGACCTATGTTTAGATTGTCCAGTTACAAGATGCACCACTGGACAGGACACCAAGTAATTTTATTTGCCCATTTCAAAGTTTTCAACATTTTTTTCTGCCAGCTCAGAATAACATTTGTTAAAAATAAGTCATTCCTCGCCGGGCACAGTGGCTCCCGCCTGTAATTCCAACATTTTGGAAGGCTGAAGCGGACGGATCACTTGAGGTCAGGAGTTGAGGCCAGCCTGGCCAATGTGGTGAAAGTCTGTCTCTACTAAAAATACAAAAATTAGCTGGGTGTGGTGGCAGGTGCCTGTAGTCCCAGCTACTTGGGAAGTTGAGGCAGGAGTATTGCTTGGACCCAGGAGGCAAGGGCTTCAATAAGCCGAGATCATGCCACTGCACTCCAGCCTGGGTGATCCGTCTTAAAAACAAAACAAAACAAAACAAAACAAAACAAAACAAAACAAAACAAAACAAAACGGTGATTCCTCCTGGTACCTGTACTTAAGATTACATACATGAAAAGAGAAAATGGGCCAGGCATGGCGGCTCACTCCTGTAATCCTAGCACTTTGGGAGGCCAAGGCAGGTGGATCATGAGGTCAGGAGTTCAAGACCAGCCTGGCCAACATGGTACAACGCCATCTCTACTAAAAATACAAAAAATTAACTGGGCATGGTGGCATGTGCCTGTACTCGGGAGGCTGAAGCAGGAGAACGGCATGAACCCAGCAGGCGGAGCTTGCAGTGAGCGGAGATTGCACCACTGTGCTCCAGCCTGGGCGACAGTGTGAGACTCCGTCTCAAAGAAAAAAAAAAAGAAAATGAAGAATATTAAATGAAATTATCAGTATTTGTTATAATTTTATTCCGATGTTTATTTCTGTTGATAAGTGACCAATCCAAAATGTTTATAAAAGAACAATTTCACTGACTTCAAGGATGTTAATGACATAATTATCAGCAAATAGTTTTAAATTTGCTTGTATTTTCTTTTTTTATACTTTAAGTTCTGGGATACATGTGTAGAATGTGCAGATTTGTTAAATAGGTATAAACGTGTCATGGTGGTTTGCTGCACCTCATCAACACGTCATCTACATTAGGTATTTCTCGTAATGCTATCCCTCACCTAGCCCCCCACGACAGTGGGCCCCGGTGTTCCCCTCTCTGTGTCCGTGTGTTCTCATTGTTCAACTCCCACTTATGAGTGAGAACATGCAGTGTTTTGTTTTCTATTCCTGTGTTAGTTTGCTGAGAATGATTGTTTCCAGCTCCATCCATGCCCCTGCAAAGGACATGAACTCATCCTTTTTTTTTATAGCTGCATAATATTCCATGGGGTATATGTGCCACATTTTCTTTATCCAGTCTATCATCGATGGGCATTTGGGTTGATTCCAAGTCTTTGCTTTGTGAATAGTGCTGCAATAAACGTATGTGTGCATGTGTCTTTATAGTAAAATGATTTATAACCCTTTGGGTATATACCCAGCACTGAGATTGCTGGGCCAAATGGTATTTCTGGTTCTAGATTCTTGAGGAATCACTACATTGTCTTCCACAATGGTTGAACTAATTTATACTCCCACCAATGGTGTAAAAGCATTCCCATTTTTCCACATCCTCTCCAGCATATGTTGTTTCCTGACTTTTTAATGATCATCATTCTAACTGGCATGAGATGGTAACTCATTGTGGTTTTGATTTGCATTTCGCTAATGACCAGTGATAATGAGCGCTTTTTTCATATGTTTGTTGGCCACATAAATATCTTCTTTCAAGAAGTGTCTGTTCATATACTTTGCCCACTTTTTGATGGTTTTTTTTTTTCTTTTACATTTGTTTAAGTTCTTTGTAGATTCTGGATGTTAGACCTTTGTCAGATGGATTGCAAAAATTTTCTCCCATTCTGTAGGTTGCCTGTTCACTCTGCTGATAGTTTCTTTTGCTGTGCAGATGCTCTTTAGTTTAATTAGATCCCATTTGTCAATTTTGGCTTTTGTGGTCATTGCTTTTGGTGTTTTAGTTATGAAGTCTTTGCCCATGCCTATGTCCTGAATGGTATTGCCTAGGTTTTCTTCTAGGGTTTTTATGGTTTTAGGTCATACTTTTAAGTCTTTAATCCATCTTGAGTTAATTTTTGTATAAGGTTTAAGGAAGTTGTCCAGTTTCAGTTTTCTGCATATGGCTAGCCAGTTTTCCCAACAACGTTTATTAAATAGTGAATCCTTTCCCCATTGCTTGTTTTGTCAGGTTTGTCAGAGATCAGATGGTTGTAGGTATGTGGCATTATTTCTGAGGTCTCTGTTGTGTTCCATTGGTCTATATATCTGTTTTGGTACCAGTACCATGCTGTTTTGGTTATTGTAGACTTGTAATATAGTTTGAAGTCAGGTAGTGCGATGCCTTCAGGTTTGTTCTTTTTGCTTAGGATTTTCTTGGATATATGGGCTCTTTTTTGTTTCCATATGAAATTTAGTTTTTTGTAATTCTGTGAAGAAAGTCAATGGTAGCTTGATGAGGATAGCATTGAATCTATAAATTACTTTGGCCATTTCACCATATTGATTCTTCCTATCTATGAGCATGGAATGATTTTCCATTTGTTTGTGTCCTCTCTTATTTCCCTTGAACAGTGGTTTGTAGTTCTCCTTGAAGAGGTCCCTCACATCCCTTTTAAGTTGTATTCCTAGATATTTTATTCTCTTTGTAGCAATTTTGAATGGGAATTCACTCATGATTTGGCTCTCTGTTTGCCTGTTATTGGTGTATAGGAATATTTGTGATTTTTGCACACAGATTTTGTATCCTGAGACTTTGCTGAAGTTGCTTATCAACTTAAGGAGATTTTGGGCTGAGATGATGGGGTTTTCTAAATAGACAATCATGTCATCTGCAAACAGAGACAATTTGACTGCCTCCCTTCCTATTTGAATATCCTTTATTTCTTTCTCTTGCCTGATTGCCCTGGCCAGAACTTCCAATAATATGTTGAATAGGAGTGTTGAGAGAGGGCATCCTTGTCTTGTACCTTTTTTCCAGCTTTTTTGCCCATTCACTATGATATTGGTTGTGGGTTTTTCATAAATAGCTCTTATTATTTTGAGATACGGTCCATCAATATGTAGTTTACTGAGAATTTTTAGCATGAAATGGTGTTGAATTTTATCAAAGGACTTTTCTGCATCTATTGAGATAATTATGTGGTTTTTGTCATTGGAACTGTTTATGTGATGGATTATGTTTATTGATTTGCATTTGTTGAACCAGCCTTGCATCCCAGGGATTAAGCCGACTTGATCGTGGCGAATAAGCTTTTCAATGTGCTGCTGGATTTGGTTTGCCAGTATTTTATTGAGGATTTTCGCATCAATGTTCATCAGGGATATTGGCCTGCAATTTTCTTTTTTTGTTGTGTCTCTGTCAGGTTTTGGTATCAGAATGATGCTGGCCTCATAAAATGAGTTAGGCAGGAGTCTCTCTTTTTCTATTGTCTGGAATAGTTTCAAAAGGAATGGTACTAGCTCCTCTTTGTACCCCTGGTAGAATTCGGCTGTGAGTCCATCTGGTCCTGGGATTTTTTTGGTTGGTAGGCTATTAATTACTGCCTCAATTTCAAACTTGTTATTGGTCTATTCAGGGATTTGACTTGACTTCTTTCTGATTGAGTCTTGGGAGGGTGTATGTGTCTAGGAATTTATCCATTTTTTCTAGGTTTTCTAGTTTATTTGCATAGAGGTGTTTATAGTATTCTCTGATGGTAGTTTCTATTTCTGTGGGGTCAGTGGTGATCTCCCCTTTATAATTTTTTGTTGTGTCTATTTGATTCTTTTCTCTTTTCTTCTGTATTAGTCTGGCTAGCAGTCTATCTATTTTGTTAATCTTTTCAAAAAACCAACTCTGGATTCACTGATTTTTTGAAGGGTTTTTTATGTCTCTATCTCCTCCAGGTCTGCTCTGATCTTAGTTATTTCTTGTCTTCTGATAGCTTTTGAATTTGTTTGTTCTTGCTTCTCTAGTTCCTTTCTTTCTTTCTTTCTTTCTTTCTTTCTTTCTTTCTTTCTTTCTTTCTTTCTTTCTTTCTTTCTTTCTTTCTTTCTAAGAGTCTCGCTCTGTCGCCCAGGCTGGAGTGCAGTGGTGCAATCTGGGCTCACTGCAAACTCCACCTCCTGGGTTCACGCCATTCTCCTGCCTCAGCCTCCCGAGTAACTGGGACTACAGGCGCCCACCACCTCGCCCGGCTAGTTTTTTGTAT